CTGCATTCCCCGACGCGCGGATGGCGCCGCGCCAGGAATGTCCCCCAGACGACTCCGCCGTCCTTCCCCTCCGGCGCCGCTGCCCGCCCCCTTCAGGCCGCGGCGCCGCGAGGCAGCCTCCCGCCCTCCCGGGGCTCACGGGCACGCGCCCCCGCGCCCCGGAACCGCGCACGACGCTCGGCTAGCCGCCCGCGCACCGCCACGCGGACGCGTCCGTGCAAGCGCGCCCGGTCCCCGCACGCACGCACGCACGCACTCACGCGGGGCGCGGCGGCCCTCTCCCCGGGGGCCGCGGCCGCCCCCTCCGCTCCGCGCGGCGGGTACTCACATCGCCGGGACAGCGCCGGGTGATGGTCGGACGGGAGCCAGATCTTCTGGATGCGGCTCTGCGTCAGCTCCATGGGCATCGTCAGAGCGAAGGGCTTGGCCCGCGCCGGCTCCACCTTGGGCTGGAGGGAGATGCGAGAGGACGGAGACAAAGCGGGGGGGGGGGGGGGCTCTTTCTTGATGCTGTTTGCGGGACGGGGGCGGAAGGTGCCTGCCTTCTTCTCCAGGAATCTGGGCACTTTGCAGCGCTGCTCAGGGCCTCCCGGGCTGGAGCTCTGCGCGCGCGAGCAGCCTCGAGCAGGCTCCGCAGTGCTTTCCGGGCGTGGCGGGGGCGAGATCCGCTTCGGGCGCGGGGGGCGATCGGAGGGGCCGCCCTGCCAAGAGGTCGCGCGTCTAGCCGCGGGTGCGCTGCTCCGAGAGCGGTTGCGAGAAGCCACGGCGCGCGTGCGTTCAGGCGCTGGGAATGGGAGCCGGCGGCCCGGCGCGGGTATTTCTAGAGACCGGCCGGCAAGAAAGGGCGTGCGTCACGGCCCGCGCCCCGCCCCGCGCGCCCGCCCCCCCCGGAGGAGAGACGGAGCGCGGGGCCGCGGCGAGGCGAGGCGTCCCGCTGCTGCCCCCGCCTGTCGCCTGGCGGAACTGACGCGGGCCACGCATCCTTGCAGGTCCCACCGCCGCCCGACTCGAGACAAAGGGACAGTGCAACTTTCCCCGCAGGGGGGTGGGCGGGCGAGTCATTCGAAAGAAAGCGACGGGTGAACCATTCCGCCCCCCCCGGGGGGCTCTTCTAAGATCCGTTATCTGGGAAGATTCGGGCCCTGCCGAAATCCTGACGCCTCCTCGCCACCCATCTCGAGTAAACCTGCCTGAAATTAAAGTACACGTTTAATTCTTCCTGGGCAGATACTTTTCTGTATCTATTCACTGCGTCTCCATCCCACTTGCAAGGAACCCAGCCTGGCTTAGAGATCTTGCCCTCCATTTTTCATGCTCACATCAGCCCTGTGAGGTAGGTGAGGCTGGCCCAAAGTCACATAGGGAGTTCTTTGTCCAAGAGGGGGCTAGAATAATGATCTCCCAAGTGCTGGTCCAACACTATCTGCAACACCACACTGGCTAGTTAAGAGGACTGAAAATCACAGCTCTGCTTGTTCGCTCAGAAGTGACTCCCAATTCGTCTAACGGTTTCCGTCTAAATAAGTATGCAACTTACTCTGGATCTCTGGCATGCATTTTCTAACACATACTTAGAATACTGGTAATCCTGACTTCCATCTTAGGGAAAGGTTCGCTTTATTCTGAAAAGTGTTGAGAATTTTTAGAGAACTGAAAACTTTGCAGATTTATATCATTTATTTTAATGGTTATATATTGTCCTATAGGTTCTGCATGGTTTAAAAGAGGTTAACTTAAAAGTGAACCCATGTGAAACTTGGTGAATTTATCTTACTTTGAACTTACTATTTTCAACCATTGCTCCCAGTTTGCTGACTACAGAGCCCATATTAAAGAAATTGAAAACCGGTCCCAGATTTGTAGTCACTGCAGCTGATCCTGCACCTCTTCCAAATTTTGTGTGGTGAAATTCTGTTGAACAGCAAAAACATTCTTCTGAAATAAAGATTCAGATGCTTCCAATTACCATCTTTAGACAATCCAGAAAAGTATGAAGTTTTGCTTTCTTAGTTTGCAGGAGAGGTTTTTGCATATCCTCATGCAAGAAGTGGCTATATAACTGGCTGCAATCTTTATTTCTGAATAAAGATTGCATATATTAAATTCCTGAGGACGGGGCTGGTATCAAAAGTTATGAATTGTAAGAGTCCAGTAAGTAACAGCACTTTGAAATTGCATACCTGAATTGTATAGTCACAGTCCTGAACGATGATGTATACTCGTATAAATCCCAACGTTACTAAATCCAAAGGGGTTCCCGAGTCAAATCTGTTGCGACAGAAGCCACACACAGTCTTGGGGGCATCTCTGGGACTAACCAGTGCATTTTGGCATGTGCCGGAATCTACTTCGTCAGATGCAGAGTTAATACAGTGCTGAACCCCCGCTATTGTGTTCTGGAATTAGACACAACTTTTATTCCAGTTTTAAAACTCCTTACTGCTAATGGCGCAGAGTCGGACATGCTTACTTGGAAGCCAGTCTCGGAGATCTGCACAGGAATGCGGCCTGGGAGTCTGACTCCGCAGGAGGTGGTTTCTGCACATAAGCAGAGGTGCCCTGGGTCAGGCCAAGGGTCCAACTAGCCCAGCATTCTGTTCACACAGAGGCCAACACAAGCCAGACAGGAGCAGAAGAGCACCCTCCTGCCCAGGTTTCTCTGCAACTAAGTACAAAGCCACACTGCACTACTGGAGGGACAGTCATGAGGACTAGTATCCATGGATGGCCGTTGTCTCCATGAATTTCTCCAATCCCTCTTTATGCAGTCCAAAACTGTCCATGACATCTTGCACAAGTGAATTCCATCATTTCACTATGCACTGTATGAAGAAGTCCTTCCTTTGATCTGTCACAAACCTCCCCCAAATTAGTTTCGTGGGGTGACCCCTTTGGGTCCTGGTGTTATGAGCAAGGGAGAAAAATCTCTTCCTGGCCACGGTCTCCGTCCCTCACTTCAGCACCCAAGTCTAACTCATCTGCTCAGTGATACAGTCCTACCCTAGCCAAATTTTCATAGCAGGAAGCTCTATATCCCCTCCCCACTCTTTTGGGGGAACTGGCTTTCAAATCAATATGCTTTGGACTACAGCCTAGGCTATGGTTAGGGATCTAGGAAGCAGCCCTGCATCAGATCATCCCAGTCAGCTTGGTCCAGACCACAGCACCCCTTTTCCATCACCTGCTTTCTGAACCCGAAGATGCGTAGGATCAAAGTGGATACCTCGACGGACCACTAAGCTATGGCTCCTTCCCCTGATTCTGAACACCAGTGGGAACTGGGCAGTGCTCATTTTCCCCCTCTTCGTGCAATCATCTGGGCATGCAGAATGCATTAAATTCAGCCTCTCCCAAGCTGGCAGCAGTATGGACTCCAACCCAGACCATTTCTGACTGTTGGCCAGGCTGTGCCTGATGCGGCCCGAAGCCCAAAATATTTGGAGGCCACTGGGTAGGGAAGGGTGCATTGCAGGATGTTTTGATGCCATGAAGTTCCCGCAGGCAGCAGTCACTGAAGTTCAGTGGGCGTGAGGAAACTCGCCGCGCGATGATGTCACACAGCACTGTTGTCTCCCGAGCAGGAGAGAGAAAGCGCTGCAAGGGTGATTTCGGTTGCTGTGGCCTCATGTCTGCCATAAAATGCCTAAATTCTGCCTTAATAAATACCTAATTTCTGCCTTACTGCTTCCTGGAAAATTACCCTCACTGTATTGAGTGAGATTTGCTTCTGCATAAAACATTTCCATTACTGCTCTCTGCAAAGAAACTCTGCATGGAGTTTCAAGGAAAGGGAACCTTGGGAACAGGCATGGTTTTTCTCTGTTTTTTGGTACTCAGAAACAAGAAGTTTTGGGTCAGCTAAGAAGGAAAAGGTAATGCTGGCCAGGTTGAAAGGAAAAGCAAAACAACTTGTACAGCCACTTACGAAGCAAAACTGCTAGGCTTGGAAATATCTGCGTAGCCAGTTGTGCGGGGGGGGGGGGGCAGTCCTCCAGTGCGCACCAGCAGCGCCTCCAATACCAGGACCCTTCAGACCCACTGAGGAGAGGCGGGTGGCACTTTTAGACCAGGCAATTCTCGGCAGGCTTTTGCACGAGTGTCCAGCGCACATCCCTCCAGCCAGCAGGGCTGCTTTGCAACGCACCCAGGGGACGCCGGATGGTGTTACTAGTCCCACGGGCACAGAGCAGGGCAAACTTCAAAGTCAGGCGTGAACCGATGAAAACGGGCAACTTTCCAAGCAGCTTGTGACATGGAATGGAGGCCTGCAGGTTTGAGAAGCAGCGGGGCGATAAGAAACGACACGGAGCACGTCTAAAATGGATTTGCTTCTAACTATGCTGTGCTGTCCTGTGGCAGGTTGAGGGACGCTTTGCCACCCCAGGAACTGCACAGCATAAGCAACATTTGTTCCCTGGATCCATTGCATTCCAGAGCTTGCCCTGAAGCCCAGCACGGCCACCGGCTTCAACAGCTCGGATCCAGGAGCCACGAAAAGGCAGCAAAGCACCCCCCGTTCAGTTTATTGCTGCAGGAATGATTTCTTGATCTAGATTAGCACTGCCACAAGTTTTACACTGTAAGCTCCTTGGGACGGAGACTTGCCTTCTCATACTGTGGGATGTGTTATGGACATTGAAGGTGCTCTGCTGTTGCACTGGACCGTGGCGACTGGGCATGATGGGAGTTGTAGACCAAGACATCTGGAGGGCGGATCTAACTTAGTGCCATCGATATGCATGGAACTTTACGAACTATAAGAAGATGCATCTCTGCCCCAAGGAGTCTACAATCTCAGAACTGCTGCCAGGGAGAAAATGGATGAGGGGAGGAAATGGAGGCAAGGACAGATAGCAGGGCTTGCGCCAGCTCCTGGGATGCTTTCGGGCAGCTGCCAGGGACCCCAGCATCCTGGTGGGGCCAGCTGCTCCCACCTGCCTTGTTGCCTTTGTTGCCCACAACACCCAGCGGCTGCCATTTTGTGTTTCCTATCATGCAACTGAGACAGCATCACTCCGGGGCACCAGGAGAGCTAGAATGGCAGCCCCGGCCACCCATTGCTGTCTGCTGGCGCTGCCAGGTCAACCTGCCTAGCCTCACGGACACAGCTGCCCCATGCGGCGTCTATCCAGCCGAGAGTTCTTGACCCTGACTGGCAGCCGCTATCCAAGAATTCTGGGAAGATGCTTCCCTAGCCCTACTGGGAGATCCCAGGACCAGACTGGGGGCTTTTCGCATGCACAGTGGGGGTTCTCATGCTGCGCCCAGCCCTTCCCCCAGCAGAGGCTTCAGACAAATGGAGGGATCTGCCATGGGAGAGGAATTGGCATTTCTCTCCCCCCCCCCCCCCCCACCACGCACAGTATAAAATCCCATCCCTGCCATGTGTCCAGGCCCCTCCAGTTACTGCAGAACACAGAGAAAAAGACAAGAGATGCAAATCTTGGAACGAATTCTGCTTCTGACCCCCCACAGCCCTCCTGATGACCGGGAATTCAATTTCCATCATCCCCAGCCAGCACGGACAAGTGTCCAGAATGCTGGAGTGGCAGTCTGAGATGCGGGAGGGTACCAGGTTGCTTTCACAGATCCAGATTGCAAAGGCAACAAGAAAGAAATAAACACGAGTACACATTCTTAATGAGTACATGATATGCCAAGCAGGAAAGTCCAAAAGTGCGTGTCTGGGGGCGGGGGGGGGGGGCCGATAAAATCCTGTGCAGGTTGGTGGCATCACGGGAGTAACAGCCAAGCGTGATGGTCCCGAA